AATGCCGCCTTGCTCCCCTGTCCCAATATGCTGCCCCGCTGGAATCTGCTCAGTGGGGCACAAAGAAAAGCCAGGGAAATGGCAGGAGTGGGGGTGGGGAAGCAGGGGGACCCTGAGAAGAGCCAGAAGGAGCCAGGCACGGCCTTATCTTCTGTTCAGGACGACCTCACAGGCAAGACTATTCTCCTCAATGGGCAGTGATGAGCCAGGTGGGCAGGACTGAGATGGAGGAAGCCCAGGAGGCCATGGGATCCCCAGGGAGACACCCGACCCAGCTGGCAGGTCCAGGACAGCTCTCAAAACAGTGCAAACTAAGCTGGCATCTGAATGACAAGTTCAGGATAAAGGAGAGGGAGTCCCGGGCAGAGGCATCAGCCAGTGCACAGGGGTGGGGACGAGGGAGGTGGAGGGCATGGCACACCCAGGAAGGGAAGGAAGTTTATTTAGTCTGGATGTGAGGGGGAGGAAGGGGTCACAGTCAGGAGTCTGAAGTTCCTTCTGAGGACAACAAGAGTTATAAAAGGTTTTCAAACAGAAGGGATGTATGTGGTCTGGTAGCATTGAAGAACAATCCTTGAGTGAGGCCTGGATGAGGGATGGGGAGGGAGGGGACGGACTAGACAGTTAGAGAAGCTTAAGCAGAGGGATGGGCTTTTTGATGGACCCACTGGGGAGGGAGAAGGAGGGTCAGGGAAGCCTCCCAGGCCTCCAGTTTGTGCACTGGGAAGTTGGGGGTGCCGTGCTCCAAGTTGAGGAGCTCAGGAGTGAGGCCAGTTTAACAGGAAGTTATTTCTGGTGGGGGTCCTGGATCCCCAAGCCAGCTGTGGCATTTCCTGTCTGGTCATCTTACCTTAGGGCCACAGTAGAGAATTCAGATCCTGAGCTAACTGCCCATTACAGACCAGGAGCTCAGAGGAGAGAGGTGGGCTCAGAGTGTGCCAGGGGTTGTTAGGTCAGAGCTAGGGCCAAAAACTGGAACTCCAGACTCCCCACCTTGTGGCTGTTTTCCTTGCCCCATCACTTTTCCCACCCATTTTGTAGGGAGAAGAAAAGATGAAGGCCCAGAGGGAGAAAGGGGATTGCCTAAAGTAATGTGAATCAGGGACAGAGCTAGCAGTGCACTCAGATGCCCCTTGGGGCCTGGAGCCATTGTGGGGGGCAGCCCCACATATACACACACATATACTCAGAGAAGCTGTGCAGGTGAGGGAAAGATGGGCATGGTGCTGGCTCCAGGTCATATATGGACTTAGGAGCTGCTGCCCAGCAGGCCAGCCTGGAGGGAGTGGGGCCCAGTCCGGCCCTGTTCCAGTTGGAAAGTGTGACTCAGCCGTGCTGTTGCTCGAATTGCCTGGTGTTTGGCCTGTCACTGGGGCAGCAGGAGCCCTGAGCCGTGAGCCCCGGTGTAAACAATGGCTTTATAAGGTCTCCAGGGAAGACACCAGAGATGGGAGGGAGCTCCACTTTGGGAGAGGCCACGATCCCTGGGGAGATAGCCACAGCTGGAAGAAGCTGCAGAAAGAGGCCGCCTCTTCACCATAGTACAGCTGAAACAAGCTGGGGCAGAGATGACCTCCAGGGCACATAGCACCTCAACATGCGAGTCAGAAACCTCTCACTCATCCTAGGTGCTTCCAAGGACTCAAATGAAGCAAAGAATGACTATACTATTGCAGAAAATGGGGAAACTGAGTCACAGGGCAGGGTTTTCTCTAGCTTCCACAGCTGGCCAGGAGTAGAGCCTTGGCAGAAACAGGTCTCCTGCTTCCCAGGCTTCTTCCCCAAAGGAATCCTGGTGAGCTGAGAGTAGGCCCCAGCCCTTACATTGTTTGACCTTGAAGGTCTGACCTTGAAGGCACAAGATGGAAGGTAGTCCTGGGCCCTTGGGTGACTTGGGAACAGGAGCAATTCCTGCCCTCATGCCTTCCCTGCCAAAGGAAACTCACTTAACAACATTGACAGTGCTAACTATATGCCAGGCATGGCACATGGGAGGGAGCAAGTCCTGCCCCTGAATGTGATGTAGTTGGTCCAGTTTGTATTGATTGGGACACTCATCTGCTTCCCCTGCTCTACCCAAGTGGGTAATAAGGGTTAAAGAACTGTCTCTCAGACATACACACACACCTCCCTGGCCACCATCTCACACAGCAGGGATGTCCCTTGAGGCAGATGGGGGTTCTCAGGCTGCTCTACAGGAGGTACCAAGCCAGGGAGCTGGCAGATAATCCTGGGCCCAGAGGGTCACTGGAGTGGGTCCTGGGTGCAGGGAAAGATTTGAGGCCCCTTGGGTACAACGGCCCAACTGAGAGGTTTGTGCCAGCTGGAGTGTGCCATTGAGGGTGAGAAGGAGGCAGCCCTCCAGAGAGAAGTGGGTGGGGTCTGGAATGAGGACCTCCCCAGGGCTAGGGGTTGAGACCCCAACCCTGCGCTGGGTCTGCTGCGCCTGGGCGCTGGGATGGGGCAAGGATCTCCTCCTTCACCTCCACATGCCTTGGCCTTGCTCCCTACAGAGGTGCCTCCAGGCTTGGGTGGCTGGGGCCTGGGGCTTCTGCCTTCCTAGAAGGCTTTTCCCCCATTCAGTCGATCAGGAGTCGAGTTTTTGGAAGACCAGCGGGCTGCGGCGTTGTAAAGACCTCTGGGTAGAGGGTCGCCGCAAGAGTCGGGGCCGGCACTGACAACCACCCCCGTGCCCCCCTCCCCGCAGGATGCTGGTGGACTGCGTACCCCTCGTGGAGGTGGAGGACATGATGATCATGGGCAAGAAGCCCGACCCCAAGTGCGTTTTCACCTACGTGCAGTCGCTCTACAACCACCTGCGGCGCCACGAGCTGCGCCTGCGCGGCAAGAATGTCTAGCTTCCCCACCTCCCGCAAGGCCGCAGCGGCAAGCTGCCCCCACCATCCAGGCACCGTCCCCTCCCTGTGCGCCTGCCCACCGCTGCCCTGTCTGTCGCGACACCTTCCCACGCATACACACGCAGCGTTTTGATAAATTATTGGTTTTCAACGACCCTGATTCCTCTCTGCCTCCCTTGGGGGGCTGAATGGAGGGCAGCTGGGCAAGGTGTGCCCACGTCCCCACTCTGGCAGCCAGGCAGCTGGGGATGCGCTGTCTCCTATGGGTATTCAGGGAGCTCTTATTCCTCACCCGCCCGCATCAAAGAAGGAGTCGAGTCTCGCTGAAGGCGGAAGGGGATTTAGTGGAGCTGGGAAGGGAAGAAAGAGGGTTAGGAGGGACCCCCGCAACTCCATCCCTGCTGGCTCGGGGACTGGGCGTCGGCCCTCAGCGAGGGTGGTGCTCCCGGGCCGCTGAGCGCTTCATTCTGTCCCCAGGGCTCAGGCAGGGTGGTGCTGCGTCCCCAGACCTACAGGTCAGCGCGGTCAGGAGCGCCTTCGGCGGGCCTAGCGGGCGCCCGCAAATACTCTGGGGGCACAGCCTCGTCGGGCGACGCCTTGCGGTAGAAGCCGAGCTCCTGCACCAGCGCGTTGATCTCCTCGCGAGTCATGTCGCTGAGTGGGATTCGCTGAAGCAGAAGAGGGGCGGGGTCAGCGCGCCGGGCCCCGCCTCTCGCCCCTCCTCCCCACTGTCCACCTCCCCAGGCCTCACCTCCAGTTCCTCAAAGCGTTGGCCCAGCAGCACGAGCTCCGGGTCGGCCCCCGGGAGGTGTTTCATTACCAGGTTGTGGCTGGAGATGGTGTTAAGGTGGGTAGTGGTGGGCGGAGGCAGGTGGGGTCTCCCGGGGACTTGTCGACGTGAACACTACCTCGTCTGCCCAAGCAGGGCAGGGATACCCATTTACACGTGAGGAAATTAGGGTTCGAAGAAGTAAGGGGGTCTCCTCTCTGTGCCAGTGTCTGTGGCAGTCATCACTAGTCAATTTCTCTTGCCAATCCAAGACCACCTCAGAATTCGCTGGGCAGCCACTATCAATCAATCCCACTTGTCAGTTGAAGACCATTTGTCATCCCTATCTGTGAAGTTAAGTGGAAGGAGATTCTTGCAGATACCCTCCCCTTTCTCCCTCCCCCAGAACAGAAGGAGGATACTAGAGTGGGATGTCCTGGGTGACAAAGGCCTTCACCTGGGGAGGAACCAGAACATCAGACCCCAACCATCTCCAGGTACCAACAGGAAACTGAAGCCCAGTGAGGTCACACAGCAAGCCAGGTGCAGGCTCCTGACTCCCAGCCCAGGGAACCTACCCCACCCGGTCATTGGGACCATGTTGCCCACCCCCCAAAGAGGCTCAGGGGGGACAGAACTGGGATCCCTTCCTTCAAACTCACCTCCTTCAGGCGATTAAGCTGTCATCCCCCACATGTCTGGAGGGGAACAAAATGGCATAGGTCAGGAGTAACACATCTACCCTCACCCTCATTCCCCAGCTGGGCATTGGATCGAGCTGTGAATTACTCCCTGGAACAGCAGTTCCTAAGATGTGGAAGTGGAGGCCCCTTGTGGGTAGAAGGAGGAACTCTGTACAGATGGGGAAGCCGAGGCCCACCCACACCAGAGGAAAAGAGGAGCAAGACCAGAAACCCAAAGGGCACTTACCAGCCTTAGGGCTCTTGCCTGCACAACTTACTGACTGTTGACCCACGCCCAATGCCCAAGAGAAATGATCACCCTACCCCCTCAGGCCATAGAGACCTGGACCTGGTCTTTGGCCCCTAGAACCTCAGGGTGGAGGCAAACCAGAAGGAAACAGCTCAGAACTTCCCTGAGAGGCCCTATTAAAGACACCTACCATCTGGTCCCTACCTCATCCGGTGCAGAGCTGGCTCTCCCTGCCACCTGCAGCCTAGCCCTACAGACCATCTGGTTGCTTCCCCAACAAAGGAGGCTGAGAGGGCTCCTCCCTGTACTCCCTGAAGGGGAGTCCAGACCCCAGGATTACCCATTCTTGTCCTCCCTCCTCCCCGCCCTCGCCACCCCCCCCCCAACTTTTTTCAGGCAGAAAAGTAAGGCCCAGAGAGGGTCTGTGATGATCCAAGTTACACAGGGACTTTGGTGGGGTATTTCATGGCAGGGGAGGGTGGGGGGATTGCTGAGGAGTAAGAGTTGGTAAGGCAGTTCCCAGCCAGGTGGCAGGGAGGCTCCCAGAAATTCTTCTGTCTCCCAGGCAAAGGGAGTGAGACCAACCGGAACTGGGGTGGGGAGGAATTCCAGGAAAAACAGAAGTGATGGGGGGATGGGAGGTTGGGGTCCAGAGGACAGATTTGGGAAAGTCATGGCTGGAAGAAGTTAGGGGACAGGGCCAATGTGTCTGGGGCCCGATGTCTGGCCGGATGGGGAACTGGGGAGGGGTTCAGATTTCCAGGCCTCAAGATCGGTTGTCTCGGGCTTCCACGGTGGGTGCTGGGGCGTTCTGGGGCTGGGGAGTGGGAGGGACAGGGGGACATGGGAGTCGGGAGGGTCCTGGATCAGAACGGGCGGTGATTCCAAAGCCAAGGGGCCACGGGGTTAGGGGTCGGTGGTCCCTAGCCTGGGGACCGCCGCACTCACCTCTACCCGGCCTCGGGCCAGGCCGTGTAGACGGTTCCAGTCGGGCCGGAAGGTGGTGGTGGCGGCCGCGACTGCCGCGAGGAGCAGCAGCAGGGGCGACGAAAGCAGCAGGAGGCGCATTGAAACCCGGCCGAAGATGATCCGCAAGCTAGAGGTGAACCGTCCGGCCACTGCGCCACGTCTGGGCCCGCGAGCTGGCCAGGTCCCTGCTTGAGGTCCCACCCCGCTAGGGACCACGCCCCCAGCTCTCGGTCTCCGCCCAGGGCCTGCGTGGGGGCCGCCCGCGCTCTCCCGGCGGGGTTTGGGCTCCTCTCTGGCCCTCAGCCCTTTACTTTCCCAGCCCCGAGAGTGTCCACCCTCCCTCTGCTGACCGAGAGCATGGACGCTCCGACAGGATGCGGCCAGGCAGTGCCCCCTCATGCCGGCAGGGGGCGCGGGCGGGATGCGGACGGACACGCGAGTTTCTGGGTCAGACACCCGATTTGAAGATGGGGAAACTGAGGCCTGGGGAATCCTTTTTAGTGTTTTTTATTTCTCTGGATGAAATTCCGATCTGGATTTCAATTTCCTGAGCACACGTGTGGCGATGGGAATATTACGTCGGGGCTGGGAGGATAAAAGGGTTAATACACATTAGAAAGCTCTTTAGAACAGTACCTAGCACAGTACCTCAGAATGGCCCCATGAACTCCGTTTTACAAGTTAGGTAACAGACTCAGAAAGGTAAAACAATTAAGTTGTGGATCTGGGATTTGAACCTAAAACATGCCTGTGTTCCTCTCACCAAGACAAAGATAACTAGATCAGGATGCTACTTCCTCTCTTCAAGCCTAAGGCAGACACAGCACATTGATCACAATGCTCTTTCCCACCGAATCTAGCCTGGGACTCAGAATCCTCCTCAACATCAAACCAAGGCTGCATTATGACCAGTTTTGCCTTCCTGGGCCCCTTCCTTTATTAAAAAACATATATTAAAAATTGGATTTTACAACTGCTTTGATTTAATAAAATGAATGTAATCCAGGCTGGATTCATGATTACTTATTCATTTTTTCCTTCCGATTTTAAAAGAAGTTAAAATTAAAATATTTTTGTGGACCCCTAAAAGTATGATGGGCCCTAGACACTGAGCCTAATGGAAAAGTCAGTTCTGCCCTTTGTTCATAACCTGCTACCTCCCATTCACTGACTTGATTGTGAAGATATAATAATAATAGGCTTAGGGCTGTTATTTAATATCCATTCTCTATAAATGCATGAGGACACAGTAAATATAATTGGTTCTATCCAGATTATTGAAATGACAGGCTATGTCTAACACTCTATTTACTGCTGTGGAAGTGGGAATTCATCCAAGCTTTCTGAAAGGCAATTTGACACCGTAAATCAAAACCCTAAAAATATTTCTTCTGCCCAGTATTCCACTTCTCAGAATTTGACCCAAAGTAATCTTCAGAGAGGGAATCAATTGTTAGGTCAAGATGTTTATCAAGACACTGTTTATCATGGTGAAAAACTGAAGAGAAGACAGAAGCATGTCACAGCAGGGGATGAGTTAAATAACTGGTGATACCTCCTTAGGATAGAGAACCAAGCAATTGTTTAAAATGATGCGGCATACTGTTGAATGACATGGAGAATGTTCATAGTTATGGTATTAAATTTTTTTAAAAAGCTATGAAACAGTAATATCAGCTGGGAGTTGCGATGCTCTGGGCTGCAAGTCACAGAAACCTCAAGTTTAACTGGCTTAAACAATGAAAGGAATCTGTTAGCTCAAATAACAAAATAGTCCAGGCAGGGAGGGCTTCAGGTGAGGTTTGATCTGGTTGGTAAAGTCACCAAGACCTGATCTCTTTCCATTCTGCTTCTATAATATCAGCTTATCATTAGCCCAATTACCTTCAGGGTGTCAAGATGGCTGCCAGTAGTAACCAGTACCACCACAGACTTCTTCATTCATATCTAACCAAGGGGAAATCTTTTTTTTTTTTTTTTTTTGTAAACTTCTCAGGAGAGAAAACAAGCTTTCTTTCCCAAAACCCCCGGCAAAAGTCTCATTATATCTCACTAGGTCCATCCATGATCTAATCAAGTGGTTGGGGAAATGCAAATGCTCCCTGGCTTAACCAGTTGGGACCCATTCCTGAAGATTGTCAAGGATATGAGCTGCAATGGATGTATGGCGGCAACAGAGTAGCCAATGGATTTTATAAAATATGTATATATAAATACATATGCCTTCACCAAAAACCATAATCTAAAGGAAACAACCCAAGAAATCAAAATGGTCATCTCTTGGTAGATGAAATTATAGGTGAATTTTTTTTCTCCTTTACAATATTTTTCTTTGTTTTCTATAATAAACATGTATTACCTAAACACAAACAGTAACATTTGTTAACAAAAAGAATGGGTCATATGCCATGGGTTCCCTCTTACCCACCCCACACCCCAACAAGGGCCTCAGATTGGCTGAAGCCAGAGGCCTCGTGGAGCCCATGGCTTTTCTGCTGACAGAGCCAAACCTCAGCACCTCATGGGCCCACGCTGTTCACTGGACAGGTGCCACCAAACCACCCTCATTGCATTAACCTGGACTCTGTGTCCTGGAGGGGCCATAGCCTGGGCTGCTGAGTGTTGACTAGCCAGCTAGTGTAACTGATGGTAGAGACTGGCCACAACAGTACCAGGAACATTCCGGCATCAGCAGTCACGGGAGGCCCAGGATCTCCCAGAACAGATCTCTGCTCATAATCCATGCCTTTATGGGGCAGTTTGTAATCTAGGCCAGCAGCCCTCCTCAGGTGGGGCTGGGTTTGGGGTTTAGTCTGTGATAAAGCCAGGCTCAGACAAGGTCAGGGTCAGTCCTTAGCCTATGCCCAGGTTCAGAACTGAGTCTGGGGCTGGAGTCAGGGCTCAGTCAGTGATTGGGATTTGGTCTCTGTGACTATGTTCAGGGCTCAGCCTTTGACCAGATTCAGTGCACAGTCTGAGGTCAGGGACTAGTATGTGACCAGAGTTGTGTGACCCAGGGTCAGAGCTCAGTTTGAGACCAGCGTTCAGTCAATGATTAGATTCAGGGCTCAGTCTGCGACCAAGATCAGGGCTCAGTCTGCCACCAGGTTGAGTTAATGACCAGACTTGGATCTCAGTCTAGACCTGGGCTTGGGGCTCAGTCTAAAATCAAGGGTTAGTCCAAACCAGGGTTAAAGTTCAGTCTGTGACCGTGGCTCAGTCTTAAGCTAGGATCAGCGCTCGATCTGGGTCCAGAATTGAGGTCTCCAGGTGGAATCAGGCTAGGTCAGGCTTGGATCAGGCTCAGTACTTGACCAGAACCAAGGCTCAATCTAGAGCTGGGGTAGAGGCTCAGTCTTAGCGTGGGATTGGGGCTCAGTTAACACCAAGATTAGGGCTCAAGTTGGATATGGAATCAGGGCTAGGGTTTAGTCTGGCTCTGTGCTCTGTTCTGAGCTCCAATATAGAAGTTTCTGGAGACTTGGGTGCCAAGGGCAGGTCAGCATGCAAGAAAGGAGAGTCCCCAGGCAAGCTTCTGTCCCTGCAGTAAACCTCTCTTTGCCTGCTGAAGCCAGTTGTCCTAGAGCCTTCTCACCTACATGGCTCTGCTGCCCGAGATCCCCTCAAACCAGAATAAAAATAGCCATTCACTTCAGAGCAGCTGACAGCAGGTGCCAGCCTGCCTGGGAGGAGGGGGAGCTGAGGAGAGGAAGGAAGGATGTTTGAGCTCAGGCCCCAGCTGTGTGACCTTGGGAAAGTCACTCCTCCTCCTTGAACCCATTCCTGAGGAGCAGAACGGGAGGTGAGGATGACACCTGCCCCAGAGGTGAGAACGAGGGGAGAGTGGTATAACATGTGGCAGTTGATACCAATAAGGAACTCTGGAGTGAAGCCTTGGGAGGAGAAATGCTCCTCCAGGTCCTGTATACTTTCTCCTCCAGGAAGCCCTCCCTGATGCTTACCTCTTCCACCTTCCCACACTACCCTGTAGCACCCTCTATGTCTCAAAACACTTCTCAACTAGTGGCCACAGTGTGACCTCCCTCACAGGTGACCAGCGAGCAAAACGAAGAGGACAGACCCTTCTGTACCATTACCATCCTCAGGTGCCACTGGGAGGTGGATCGAGGAAGAGGAAGAGGAAAGAGGAAGAAGCACGTCTCTCTCTCCCTTCCCTACTTCTGGGGGATTTACTCTGAGCCAAAGGGCCATGAGGGCACATGTCCAGAGTTTGCATCCTTTCACAGCCGGAACCTTTCATACTCCATACCTTTGCACCTGCTGCACCCTCTGCTTACCGGGGTGTTTCTTCTCTTTTCAGTTTGGCAATACAGATTCTCCTTCAAAGAATAGGTTCAACAGGAACCTCTGTAAGGGAGAATTATCCACCATCTCCCTGGAAACCCCATGCTCTGTCCCCTGCTGGCTGTGTAATCCCTAGGCCTCAGTTTCTTCCTCTATCAAATGGGGATCTTATTACCAACATCACAGGGTTACTATGGAGAGTAACAGATAATCCATCAACCACCTCCTTTCCTATCCCTGACCCAAACAGCCTGGAGGGTAGCACTAAGATTTCTAGGACGGGGCAGGAAAAGATGTACTCTCTGCCTCAGTACACCACCCCCTACCCCCAGGAGCGAGGGAAGGGAGGGAGCCAGGAGGTGTCTCCGGAGACAGCCATCTCCAGGGGGGTGGTTCTCCCTGGCAGCTGCCCCCAGCCTGCCACCCTGAGCCCCAAAGCCTGTTATCAACCTCCTTAGTCATCATACCAGGAGCTCAAATATAGCTCTTACCCTGTTCTCTTCTCAGCCGAGGTCTGCCCCCTGCCCCCTTCCCCTAGCATGGCCATGTCTGGGTCTCAGAGCCCCTTTTCCTTCCCCCCGACCCAGGAATGCAACTATGCTGGGCCTCAGTTTCAGCATCCTCCAAAATGGGCAGGTTGGGATAGATGATGATGATGAGGATGATGATGATGATGATGATTGTGGTGGTGGTGGTGGTGGTGGTGATGGTGGTAACTCCAGGGAAGCTGCCCTTACTGAGAGCTTGCTTGTGCCAGGCTCTGTGCTAAACTCTTCAGATGTATTATCTTGTTG